ACATTAGGTATCTCTCCTACTGCTGTTCCTAGCCTTGCCCCCCATCCCCTGACATGCCCCAGTGTGTGATGTTCCCCTCCCTGTGTCTATGTGTTCTCATTGTTCAACTCCCACTTATGAGTGAGAACGGGCCATGTTTGGTTTTCTGTTCCAGTGTTAGTTTGCTGAGAATGATGGTTTCCAACTTCATCCATGTCCCTGCAAAGGACATGAACTCATCCTTTTTTATGGCTGCATAGTATTCCATGATGTATATGTGCCACATTGTCTTTATCCAGTTTATCATTGATGGGCATTTGGGTTGGTTCCAAGTCTTTGCTGTTGTGAATAGTGCCTTGATAAACATATGTGTGCATGTGTCTTCATAGTAGAATGATTTATAATCCTTTGGGTCTACATCCAGTAATGGGATTGCTGGGTCAAATGGTATTTCTGGTTATAGATCCTTGAGAAATCACCACACTGTCTTCCACAATGATTGAACTAATTTACACTCCCATCAACACTGTAAAAAGCGTTCCTATTTCTCCACATCCTCTCCAACATCTGTTGTTTCCTGACTTTTTAATAATCACCATTCTAACTGGCATGAGATGGCATCTCATTGTGGGTTTGATTTGCATTACTCTAATGACCAGTGATGATGAGCATTTTTTCATATGTTTGTTGACCACATAAATGTCTTCTTTTGAGAAGTATCTGTTCATATCCTTTGCTCACTTTTCAATGGGGTTGTTTGTTTTTCTTGTAAATTTGTTTAAGTTCCTTGTAGATTTTGGATATTAGCCCTTTGTCAGATGGATAGATTGCAAAAATTTTCTCCCATTCTGTAGGTTGCCTGTTCACTCTGATGATAGCTTTTTTTTTTTTTCCTGTGCAGAAGCTCTTTAGTTTAATTAGATCCCTTTTGTCAATTTTGACTTTTGTTGCCGTTGCTTTTGCTGTTTTAGTTATGAGGTCTTTGCCCATATCTATGTCCTGAATGGTATTGCCTAGGTTTTCTTCTAGGGTTTTTATGGTTTTAGGTCTTTTGTTTAAGTCTTTAATCCATCTTGAGTTAATTTTTGTATAAGGTGTAAGGAAAGGATCCAGTTTCAGTTTTCTGAATATGGCTAGCCAGTTTTCACAACATCATTTATTAAATACGGAATCCTTTCCCCATTGCTTGTTTTTGTCAGGCTTGTCAAAGATCAGATGGTTGTAGATGTATGGTGTTATTTTTGATGCCTCTGTTCTGTTCCACTGGTGTATATATCTGTTTTGGTACCAGTACCATGCTGTTTTGGTTACTATTGCCTTGTAGTATAGTTTAAAGACAGGTAGCATGATGCCTCCATCTTTGTTCTTTTTGCTTAGGATTCCCTTGGCTATACAAGCTCTTTTTTGGTTCCATGTGAAATTTAAAGTAGTTTTCTCTAATTCTGTGAAGAAAGTCAATGGTAGCTTGATGGGGACAGCATTGAATCTATAAATGACTTTGGGCAGTATGGCCATTTTCACAATATTGAGACTTCCTATCCATGAGCATAGAATGTTTTTCCATTCTATGGAATGTGTCCTCTCTTATTTCCTTGAGCAGTGGTTTGTAGTTCTCCTTGAAGAGGTCCTTCACATTGCTTGTAAGTTATATTCCTAGGTATTTTATTCTTTTTGTAGCAATTGTGAATGGGAGTTCACTCATGATTTGGCTCTCTGTTTGTCTATTACTGCTGTATAGGAATGCTTGTGATTTTTGCACATTGATTTTGTAACCTGAGACTTTCCTGAAGTTGCTTATAAGCTTAAGGAGATTTTGGGCTGAGACGATGGGATTTTCTAAATATACAGTCATGTCATCTGCAAACAAACACAATTTGACTTCCTCTCTTCTATTTAAATACCCTTTATTTCTTTCTCTTGCCTGATTGCCCTGGCCAGAACTTCCAATACTATGTTGAACAGGAGTGGTGAGAGAGGGCATTCTTGTCTTGTGCCAGTTTTCAAAGGGAATGCTTTCAGTTTTTACCATGGGTTTGTCATAAATAGCTCTTATTATTTTGAGATACATCCCATCAATACTTAGTTTATTGAGAGTTTTTAGCATGAATGGATGTTGAATTTTATCAAAGGCCTTTTCTGCATCTATTGAGATAATCATGTGGTTTTTGTCATTGGTTCTGTTTATGTGATGGATTCCGTTTATCGATTTGTGTATGTTGAACCAGCTTTGCATCCCAGGGTTGAAGCCGACTTGATTGTGGTCAATAAGTTTTTGATGTGCTGCTGGTTTCGGTTTGCCAGTATTTTATTGAGGATTTTCACGTTAATGTTCATCAGGGATATTGGCCTGAAATTTTCTTTTTCTGTTGTGTCTCTGCCAGGTTTTGGTATCAGGATGATGCTGGCCTCATAAAATGAGTTAGGGAGGATTCCCTCTTTTTCTATTGATTGGAATAGTTTCAGAAGGAATGGTACCAGCTCCTCTTTGTGCTTCTGGTAGAATTTGGCTGTGAACTCGTCTGGTCCTGGACTTTTTTAGTTGGTAGGCTATTAATTACTGCCTTAATTTCAGAACTTGTTATTGGTGTATTCAGGGATTCGACTTCTTCCTGGTTTAGCCTTAGGAGGGTGTATGTGTCCAGGAATTTATCCATTTCTTCTAGATTTTCTAGTTTATTTGCATAAAGGTGTTTATAGTAATCTCTGATGGTAATTTGTATTTCTGTGGGTTCAGTGGTGATATCCCCTTTATCATTTTTATTGTGTCTATTTGATTATTCTCTCTTTTCTTATTAGCCTAGCTAGTGGTCCACCTATTTTGTTGATTTTTTCAAAATCCAGCTCTTGGATTCATTGATTTTTTTGAAGGGTTTTAAGTGTCTCTACCTCCTACAGTTCTGTTCTGATCTTAGTTATTTCTTTTCTTCTGCTAGTTTTTGAATTTGTTTCTTAACCTCTTTGAGACTCTTTAGAATGGGCATAATAATCATATCTATAGCAGAGAGCTGTTATAAAGATTAAATAATATACATATGGGGTGCTGAACTTCAGAGCTTTTGTTGTTGCTGTAATTATTTTCCTAAAAATGCAAATCTGATTTGCATTTGACTCATTGACTCTCATCAGTGGGTCTTCCTTTTTATTGTCCTTCATCACATGGGTCCTAATTTCACATGCAGTCTTATCACCGTCTCATTTTATAGTCCAAGAATATTAAAGGTACTTGTAGGCTCCCACACCTACAAGGTGAAAAGCTAGAGAGCATGGCTCTCTTCAAGGGTTAACTTCAGGAAGTGCCACTAACAAGGACCTCCACTAGGTGGTGAGCAAGGAAAGACGGAGGTGAAGGAACCAAAATGAGTCAAGTCCACCACTTAGCTCTACTGAAGATTCGCAAACATCATAAATTTGTCTGAAATGCAGTTTTGATTTATAGTATTTGCAATTTCCAAGGGCCATTTACTGCAGGTAGCCAAGAGTTAGCTTAGCATTTATAAAAAAGATAGAGGAGGGTGGTGGAAAAGAAGGAGGAGGAGGAGGAGAGAGAGAAGAAGAAGGAAGAGGAGAACAAGAACCAAACAAAAACAAGAACAAGTAGAAGAAGAGGAGGAGGAGGATAAAGAAGAGGAAAAAGAACAACAACAACGAGGGAAGGAGGAGGAGAAAGAGAAAAAGAAAGAAGAGGAGGAGGGGAAGGAAAGGTGCATAGGAGAATGGAAGGAAGGATAGAAAAACAGGAGGGAAGGAAGAGAGAATCTAGTGACATTACTTTTCTGATCAGCAGTTCATTTTTTTCTCAGTGGGAGGCAATAGAGGCCAGTCTAGGAAAGGGGTGGGGAAAGAGGAAAGAGAAGTAGAGGAGGAAGGGGAGGGAAAAGGGGAGGAGGAGGATGTGAGACTGGGTTAGAGAAATGAAAGAAAGCAAGGCTTTCTGTTGACATTCAGTGCAGTCTCCCTGCATCACAGCACACTCCCCTTGGGCAAGGACCTGAGACCCATTGTGCTAAGTCAAGAGGCTCAATGGGCTGCAGAAGAACTAGAGAAGGACCAAGCAAAGCCATGGTGAGCCTTTCAGCCTAAAAGACTTTTAGATGCTCAGATAGAAATTCCTGGGGTTGTAGAGGCAGGTGGCAAGGATAGGAAGCACCCCCATTTCAATTATGGTTTTAAAAAATATAGAAACTAAAAATTTTCTCAGATCCTCAGAAAAAGTGATCCTGAAATCTTTCTTCTCAGATATGCTGATTTCCTCTTCTTGACTTTGTCTCTGGGGAGACTCTTGAAGAAATCAGATATTTTGCAATAAACACTGTTTATTGAGAAGTGATGTGCTTCAGAAGATAGAATTTTTTTAAAATTATATTTTAAGTTCTAGGGTACATGTGCACAACGTGCAGGTTTGTTACGTATGTATACGTGTGCCATGCTGGCATGCTGCACCCATTAACTCATCATTTACATTAGGTGTATTCTAAGGTATGCAGGAAATCTGTGACTTTGTCATTTCAGTTGCTCAAAAAGATATTTCTTTTTATTAAAAAAAGAAATATTTTTCTTTCCTGGTATCTAGCTATCTAAATTTTTTTTAGGTATTTGAGGCATTGACTCGTTATGATCAAGAGTGAGGCTATAACATTAAATATAAGCATCAATAGTTAATTAAGCACCAACAATACTTTAAACAATATACATACTAAATATTAAATCGTTTTATCTAATAGCTCAGCAGAAAAGCAGGTACAAAAATTACTGAACCACAGAAAAAATTCAGGGCAGTACTGATTAGCAGCTTGAGACTAAAGCGTGAAAATAAAACAGTACAAAACAAAACTATGCATCAGTTCTGATGTAAATTTGAAGTACTTTTTCATCTATGTCTGAGAAACCTGTTACCTCACACAGGGTTAGTAGACATGTGTGTTTTATTTTGAATATTAAGAAAGTTGTAAGCACCACCTCAAAGGCTGTAAATGTGTGGTTTAAGAGTATAAATCTAAATACAATTTTGTATTTCATTTGCAGATATTTCCACGGAAATGTCAGAGTACCCAGAGGGACTTATGGAACATCTTCAAGTTGTGGGGGTGGACAATGCTCTGTTGTGGTATGTTATGATATTAATATATCGCTAAGTCTATTTTACTTATATTCATTTTTCTTAAATATCCACTGGCTATACATAGTCTAAGGGGAAATTATTTCAGAGAGCTGTTAGTTCTATCCCTTCTATGAACATCTCTTTTCTTCTTACCTTTAGTTCTTCCCCAGAAACTCCTGAACACTATTTTTAACCTATAATAGCCCATGCTATAGGGTTCAAATCCCAATAACCCCAAAAATCCTTCAATTATAAAGGAATAATGTTAATTAAGAAATCTCTGTTAAGGCACTTTCAATCTGTACCAAATATTTGGCACCTCATTTTCTATTTTTTATTCATAGTTCAGTGTACATTAATGTCACTTCTACAGTTACAATATGAGCTCATTAAGGGATGGGGCCTTATCATTTTTTGGTCCTTCTCCCATTGTGGTGACAAATTTTATATCTGATTCTTGAAGACTCTCCAGCAATAGCTTTGAACTTGGTTTTTCATTTCCTAAGTAAACTAATGTCTTCTTACTCCCTAGCCTGGATTTTCAGCTGTAGCCAAGCAAACATGCTAACTCTCCCCTTCACACATTTCTTATACCATGTCCGCACTGTGTCACATGGAAACTTAGTGCTCTTTTCATACAACAGGTATTATCTGAGTCCCTACAATGTGTGAAATTTATGCTAGGCACTAAGATTACAGCAGTGGACACGACCGTTTTTTCCCTCTTAGAACTTGCATTCTAGTGGAATGCTCATTCAAAACTCTGTTCAAAATGTTTATTTTATGATGCTCTTTACCATCAATTATATCTGTTTCTTTACTGTATTAAATAGTGATGCACGTAGATCATACCATGCTTAGAATGCCATATATTATTATGAAGTCATTGTGTAATTATGTGTTTAATTAGATATCTTTAAAGCCCTCATATTTGATGGGTCCATATGTTTATTAAACATCATCAGTTCAGTCTGTGTATAGAACATGATCTCATCAATTTCATAATCCCTATATCATTTGGCTTTGTAAATTGTTCTTTTTTAAAATTATACAGTTAGATATGTAAGAGGTGAGTGGTATATTGGGCTTTCCCAGAAGCAGTTCTTCCTATGGTAAAAATAAAATATTTTTTACATAAAAGAGATTACTTAAAAGAATGTCACTGTTTTTCCTGTCCTTATTATGCTTCTCCCATAGGTACACATGTGTTGGCCTTCAAGAAATTATTCCAGGATTTAAAAAGTATACTGTAAATTATATAGTTATATGATATTACACTGTAATTAGTTGTAAATCATTAACAGCTACAAAGAAAAAGGAATATGAATGTCTAAAATATGTTGGTTAAATTTCACTTGAAATAATTTTGAGAAAAAAATTAATAAGAAAATAAACCTAGAAAGCCACTAAATTTGTTTAAAATAGAACCTTAGGTAAAAGCATTTGATATTCAAGCCAGAAGGCCTAGGTTCTACTTCAAATCTGGAAACAACTATTCCGTGATCTCAGCTGAGATGGTCACACACACTCTTAGGCTCTGTTTCCTCATCTCTAAGTGTCTGGTTCAGCCTGGAGTAGTGCTAGGTACTTTTTAGCTGTAACATTATGTAAGTCTGCATAGGTCACACTGATGTCTTGCAGATTTCCTGGCACATCATGGAACCGACTGCTGGACTTACCATTATTCTGAAAATCCCATGAACTGGCAAAAGGCTAGAAGATTCTGCCGAGAGAATTACACAGATTTAGTTGCCATACAAAACAAGGCAGAAATTGAGTATCTGGAGAAGACTCTGCCTTTCAGTCCTTCTTACTACTGGATAGGAATCCGGAAGATAGGAGGCATATGGACGTGGGTGGGAACCAACAAATCTCTCACTCAAGAAGCAGAGAACTGGGGAGATGGGGAGCCCAACAACAAGAAAAACAAGGAGGACTGCGTGGAGATCTATATCAAGAGAAAGAAAGATGCGGGCAAATGGAATGATGACGCCTGCCACAAACCAAAGGCAGCCCTCTGTTACACAGGTAGGGAATGACAAGACGGCTATCTACCTCAGACTCAGGAAGGACCACAGTGAAGAGAATAATCAGATTTACCCCATGGAAAGGTTGGAGGATGAGAACAGCTGCCAGTTCATTCTAAAATACTTCTAGCCCTCTATATAATCTTGCATCATGTCACTTCTAAGAATTTTTGGTGTACAAGATGTGTCCCTGTGCACAAAAGCTATACCCCTAAATCAAGTGACATCAAAATGATAGGTGTATGTAGGAAGTACAGAGGAAGAATTAGACAGTCAGTGCCTTTGATAATAAGGCAGGGGAGGAGAAGCTGACAGCTGGGGCCAGTGGGAAACTCAGGCTTACACCACCTCAGTTTTCACATTGTGAAGTAGACAGTGTGCTGCCACATGCTTCCTTCTTGGTCTAACCTTATATAATTTTATATAAAAATTGCACTATCTTTGGTGTATGAATATTTCTGTAAAATCTTTTACAATTCCAAAATAGCCAGGATTTTCCAAGTGATGTTTTAATAGTGAACCATAGTTAATATGGTCTCTTGTAAATTGGAGTCTACTGTTTTAGCAAATTTGGACTTTTTAATCTTTGTGATCTCTATAAAGAAAGGGATTGCCAAGAAATAATTGCATGCAGAAATGACTGAGGTCAGGTCATCATTTAACCTTCTCACTCATTAAAAACAAGTAATTTCAACAGTTTCAAGGTATGCCACTAAGTTTCTCATAAGTGTTAAAGAATATTAGTATTGGTAGTTTCATTCCAAAAGCAAATAAATGACTATGGCTATATGCTTAGTGTATTTTATAAGTAAAAATTTTAGCATATGATTTTTATGCTATGAATTTACAAATAAACCTTTCCTGATTATTTAAATCATCTCAGACAAAAGGTTATCTATGTCTAAAGAAATGACTTTGAGTACTAAAATGTAATCACATTAAAATATTTTTTTCTGACCTCCTTAAAGCTTCTTGCCAGCCCTGGTCATGCAGTGGCCATGGAGAATGTGTAGAAATCATCAATAATTACACCTGCAACTGTGATGTGGGGTACTATGGGCCCCAGTGTCAGTTTGGTAAGTCTCTTTCCTTTCTTTGCTTCTTCTTAGGTAAAGTCACAGGAATCATTATAGCTTATGATGGAAGCTGGTTGGAACAAAATGATACTAGCCATTCTGAGAAATGGGAAGTTTTGATCAGAAAGCTCTGCTTTCACAATATTGTTACCTTTCCGTAAATATTTCATAAGTCAGCATGACGTTTCAATTCACCTCTCAACAAGTCTTTTTGAGTGCCACAAGGAGCACAGTGTTGGAATAAAAGCTGTCAGGGTTATAATAAGGAATTAGCATGGTAGATTCCTGCTCTCAAGAAGCTCACAATCTAATGAGCTTGTTAGGTTAATTAGAACTCTAAGGTCTGGAAGAAACTATGCCATTTATCATTAGGAGGCTGAGTTACCTAGAAGTTAATCTTGCTTTTTCCTTCTAGTAGTTCCTTTCCTTCTTGCAGTTCTCCACAGTTAACACATGTGCTCTGTAGCACACTGACTTTGTTCGTGGCCTTCTCTCTCATTTTGCACATGGCCAACAAACATGTCATCTTTAAAACACAGTTCAAAGACAATTTTTTCTAGGAAGTTTTCTTAGTTCTGATAGCTCCACATATTTCTTCCTCATTTCTCCCACCTATGCTGAAGTCATCTGTTCATTTGTTCATCTCCTCTGGTGCCGAAAGCTTCTTGAGATCAGTAAGTGTCCTATTTATCATTGCATCTTTGGGATTCACAAAATGCCTGGTATATATCAGGCACTTGCTTGCAAGCCTGAATTGAACTAGACAATTTAATTTTTTAAAAAAGCAATGTTTGTAAAGAATAAAGAATTAAAATCCAAATAAATTTTAATGTCAACAAACTGAAATAGATCTATAGATCTAACTCATTTCACTTGATCCCTGGGCTATGACTCCTTCCTAATACTTTACCCTCGCCCCATTTTTGATTAACCCTTATGTTATTGGTATACCCTTTTTCCTGGGTTTTGATTATTGGTATGTCTATTTCACCCATTTTTAACACTTTACTTTTTTTGGTCTTGGTTTCTCTCATATCAGTCTTTCCTCATTCTCTTTCTACCTGAGATCAGTTCTCCTAGGATCCTTCATGAGCACTTATCCAGGACCATAAACTATTATAATTTCTCAGCTTTCATCTTTTGTATATCGCTCTTCTCACTCTAATCTACATGTGTCCTTTGGTCAAACTTATTGTCTTTTGCGGACTCACAAATCTATGTGATGTTTGGACCGATAAACCTATCTCCAGCTCTGAACTCAAATATGCTAAGGATGTCCTTTGGGATGTTTAAAAGACTATAAAACCATTTGTTCCCAGTCAGCTTTCCTTTCTGTATTTCTAATCTCAGTATATGGAATCACCATGTACATGGGCACCCTGGTATGAGACTCTCTTTACTCCCCTAACATTTATGCAGGGTAACATTCTACCAATTTTTACAACTTAGTGTTTTTCTAATTTGTCTTCCACTTGTCAACTCTACTACCATTGCCCTCATTATCTTTCTCCTAGATTCTTGCAATAGCTTATTAGATGAGTTCCACCATTTTAAATTAGCTCCCCTCAAATATATTATTCATACTACAGGCAGACTGATCAATTAAAAGCAATTAAAACACATCACACATACATGACAATCCACCCATTAATTTCTACCTACCATTTTATCCTACAGGGTGAAATCTAAGCTCTTCAAGCCCTAGAGTAATGCTTGATGTACAACAGATAATCATTAAATCAATGAAAAAAGATAGTAACATTTTCTCTTAGTTCCCATCTTTCTCCCTAATCTCATCTCTATGTTTCCAAATACAAAAATTCTTCTGATTCCTTGAGTCCATTCTTCATTGAAGTCTCTAGAGCAAGGTAACAATAATGGCTTAAATTTGACAGATGAGGAATAAGACATGAAAGTTGTACTGTTTACTAAATGGCATGGCAGGGTCTAAAACGTGAAGACTTTAATTTCCAAGTCTTAAATTTACCTATTGTACCACCAATCAGAACAGGGAAATAGATAGAGTTTCTGGAAAGGGTTGTCAAAATCAAAAGAGTTAAAATTCTGGAACTGAGCTAGAACAGATGAAGACAGAATTGAGGTCAAAATGCTTCCCAGACTTTTATATTCTCTCCTTGCAAAGAAGGCTTATTATGGAGACCCCCTCTTTCTCTGAACGTCTTGCTCCCAATACTCTAGTAGACTCAGGGGCTCTGATGTGATAGTTATTTCCCAACTAAGCTGGTCATTCCCAGTTACACTTATTTGGATTTAAGGATTCTTCCTCCAGATAATGCTGAAGATAATGATATGAAGACTAGCTAATGTTTAATTAGAATTTCTTATGAGTCAGGCTTTGTTCTAAGGTCCCTGACTTATGCCAATTGAATTACATTTAGTTTCCATACCGATTTGATAAAGATAACACAATTTCATTATTCTTCTTATATAGATGAAGAAACTGAAGTTGGAGGGTTCAAGTAACCTTATTTAAAGGCGCATGGTTATCAAGTGGCAGAGCTAGGATTCAAATCCAGGCATCAGGTCCTCTTAACTCTTCCCCATACTGTTTCTTTCCCTGTTGAAGTGATTCAGTGTGAGCCTTTGGAGCCCCCGAAGCTGGGTACCATGGACTGTACTCACCCTTTGGGAGACTTCAGCTTCAGCTCACAGTGTGCCTTCAACTGCTCTGAGGGAACAAACTTAACTGGGATTGAAGAAACCACTTGTGGACCATTTGGAAACTGGTCATCTCCAGAACCAACCTGTCAAGGTGAGTAACTTCAGACTAGAGTCTGTGTCATGGTGATCCTGGGCTTACAGTCAGAATATTTAGTAGAAGTTTGCTGAGAAGTCAAACTTAGTAGTCTAATTTAACCTAACTTAGTTTAACCTACTGTGATGTTTTTCAAAGGACTTATTCTTACTAAATTTTTTTGAAAAACCTCCCAAACAAAAAGTAAAAACCAAATACCCCTGAAGCCACTGCCCAGTATGTAACATGATTTATAGCAATACAGCATGGTTATTATTATGTTTTTTAGTTTTCTCATTGCCATTGCATAAATAACATCTTGCCGAACCTCAGTTAAATTTGGTTCTTCTCATCTCAATAATACCTGTTTTATGTGGTGTCCTACTTAACACCAACCAATTTCCTTCTCAGGGTAGTGGAGGTCTTTCTTGGTTTTTTTATTTGTCTTATTCTTAAAATCACCTTTTACTTTTCCTCGTGCATAAACTTTTAGGAGAATAACAACTGAAAAACAAAAACACAGTCTCTTGATCTTTTTAAGTTTGAAATATGGTAGGTTTTGTTTTTCTTTGTTTTTAACTGCCAACCTTATCTGGATATGGGAGAAAACCAATGTCATCTGAACTTGTGAAGTTTTGGTTAAATTTTCTACAAGTATGTTCCTGACGCATTAGTTTAAGTAGTTTCATTCTTAGAAGTGCTATCAAAATCCCTTATTGAAATCATAAAACTATCAACCCACCTACTGGAATTTTACAGAACTTGGACTTGCTTCAGTGAATTGGGATGTTTTTCAAAACACTTGGATAGCTATCAGAACAGGTGAAAAGGCGGAGATTCTCTGAGAATACCCCGTAAGAGCCCTTGATGCACAGGCCATGTGACATGGTACTTCCAGCAGAAGTGGAGGGTCACCTTAGCGAGGGCAGCAGCCTGGAGCAGCCACTCCTCTCCCCACGGGCTTTCAATGCTTCCTTGCCTTCATCTCTCATTTACCACCCTCCATCATTCTCAAGAAAATAAAGCCTGGAAGCAATATCACAAGTAATATAGTCACACAGCTTTGGCTAAAAATCCTTTGCTCAAGGGAGGGTCTCTACTCAGAAACACTGTTTTGTCTTTTTTTTTTCTTTTTTTTTTTTTCATTGAAGTGATTCAGTGTGAGCCTCTATCAGCACCAGATTTGGGGATCATGAACTGTAGTCACCCCCTGGCCAGCTTCAGCTTTTCCTCTGCATGTACCTTCAGCTGCTCAGAAGGAACTGAGCTAATTGGGGAGAAGAAAACCATTTGTGAGTCATCTGGAATCTGGTCAAATCCTAATCCAATATGTCAAAGTGAGTAAGTTTGTCCTGGAAAACTGAAGACTTAAAGATGGAGCTGATGGATGAGCAGATATGAGGAAAGACATCCATAAACATTTACATTTTGTTTTGCAAAGTATATGTGACCTAGAAATAAATTTGTATACTTAAGTCACTGTAAAATCTTTGGTTGGTCTTGCCTCCTCCTTTAATGACAATCATTTCTTTTTTTCATTCTCACCTCTTGCCTTCTTAACTCTTAAAATCTGGACTCATTGATTTACTTTTTATCCATTCTTCTGTTCCACTACAATCTAACATCTCTGTTAGCCCATTGAAATGCCTCTAAAAGGTAACTAATGACACCTACTTCCCCAAATAATGGATACTCCTGAATTATCACTAAGCTAATGCCCCCCAAATCTGTCTGTATATGTCATGTCTTCTTCATCTTTGTATACTCTCCACCTGACACAGTGTCTGGCAATAGGTGCTAAAGCAAATGCATGTTAAGTTAGCACATGAAAGAATAGCTACCCATGTCTGCTCCTGAGACTATCTACATAGATGACAAAAGTCTTTAAATGGTAGGATCTGCAGAAGCTGTCAGAAATGCTGATCTCCATGAGCTGTGTGCCCAGGGCCAGGGAGTAGAGCGGATGAGCAGAGAGAGGCAAGGAAGGCTTTAGCAGAGGACTGTATATTAGGCCTATCAGAGACATTTCCCTTTAAGGCCTAGCTAGTGTTCATTTCCTCCTCATCTTCATCAAGCCAACAGGTACCCTCTGTCTGGAGCTCCTGGGAACTTGAGCCCTCTCTCTATCATATATTTGGGTGTGGAGATCAAAGCACCTTGAAAAGGTTCATCAGAGTAATGGGAAGAACTAAGGATAGAATCGGTATTTTTAAATAGAGGCTCCCAAATGAACTTAGTTTACACTTACAAGAGTATCTCTAAACATACCCTTTTACTTATTCGTGAAGGAAGTAGAGGGAAGTGGTAGCGCTACTGCATTGGAAAGAGATTAGTGCAGGTCCTTGGCATGTAAAAAACAAGTGCTGACTTTTGCACAACTGCTTTAAAGTAAAAGCATTCATGATTTCCTTTGACTGATGAATTATCCAGTTCAGATCACTGGCTTTTGTTTTTCCTGAAGTTGTATTAGGCTTTTAGCTCTTCTCTGTGTTTCAGAGTTCCAATCATTGAACAAGTCCATGGAGCTAAACACAATGATCACCATTCTTGCCAACATTTTTAGGTGCATTACCAGGAACTCTATGAACCACAAATCTGGGCACTGAGAGTCTGTAGGCATTAGACTAGCAAGGCTGGTCCAGTCTTTGCCTATGCTGTACTCATTATAGGCCTTCCCACGCCAGTTTCCTCATCTGTCAGATGGCATCAAATGGGCTACTACTAGGAGATGTAAGGAGGAAAAAAGTCAAATATCATGAGATGGACTAAGGAAATAATGCTGGTGGTCTCATGCTATGTGCCTTACTGATTTCTCTTTCAGAATTGGACAGAAGTTTCTCAATGATTAAGGAGGGTGATTATAACCCCCTCTTCATTCCAGTGGCAGTCATGGTTACTGCATTCTCTGGGTTGGCATTTATCATTTGGCTGGCAAGGAGATTAAAAAAAGGTATGTGAGTTTAACTTCATATGAAAAGAATACAACTTTAAAGTGAAAAATAAAAAAAAAGAAACCCACAGGAAATTAAGTGTGATAGATTCAACAGAAGCAGGATGCCAAGCTTTACATTCTAGAGCCATCAGTCCCTGGAGGCATGTAAATCAGCCCAGGACACACCTTCATTAAAACAGGTTGGCTGATTTTTGCTTTTCATCTGATAAACTTTAAAAAATGTCTATTATCTTCAAGGCAGCTTGCTACGCTGATAACAAGTAAGTGAAATCTTCTTTTTTTTTTTTTGAGACGGAGTCTCGCTCTGTCGCCCAGGCTGGAGTGCAGTGGCTGGATTTCTTTTTTTTTTTTTTTTTTTTTTTTTTTTTTTTTTTTTTTTTTTTGAGACGGAGTCTTGCTCTGTCACCCAGGCTGGAGTGCAGTGGCCGGATCTCAGCTCACTGCAAGCTCCGCCTCCCGGGTTCCCGCCATTCTCCTGCCTCAGCCTCCCGAGTAGCTGGGACTACAGGCCGCACTGCCGCTTTTTTTTTTTTTTTAAGAGGTTTACGTGTCCATGTCTCCTCGATGGATCCGCGCTCCCAGTGCGATACAGGCTGCACGGCCCCTATGGGATTTCAACTCACTGCAAGCTCCGCCTCCCGGGTTCACGGCGTTCTCCTGTCTCAGCCTCCCGAGTAGCTGGGACTACAGGCGCCCGCCACCATGCCCGGCTAATTTTTTGTATTTTTAGTAGAGACGGGGTTTCACCGTGTTAGCCAGGATGGTCTCGATCTCCTGACCTCGTGATCCACCCGCCTTGGCCTCCCAAAGTGCTGGGATTACAGGCACGAGCCACCGTGCCCGGCCGTAAGTGAAATATTCTAATGGCTCTTTGCTATTTGCTCTTATTTGATTCTTTAATACCTTTTTTTTTTTTTTTTTTTTTTTTTGAGATGGAGCCTCACTCTGTCACCAGGCTGGAGAGCAGTGGCGCAATCTCAGCTCACTGCAACCTCCGCCTTCTGGGTTCAATCTATTTTCCTACCCTCCCAAGTAGCTGGGACTACAGGAGCCTGCCACCATGCCCGGCTAATTTTTTGTATGTTTAGTAGAGACGGGGTTTCACTGTGTTAACCAGAGTGGTCTCAATCTCCTGACCTTGTGATCTTCCTGCCTTGGTCTCCTAAAGGGCTGGGATTACAGGTGTGAGCCACCACACCTGGCCTGCTCTTAATTAATTCTGAAAAGATAACACACAATCTCTGTCCTCTAAGAGCCTACATGCCTTGGATTTCAATGGTACAATTCCACTAGGAAGTGGGTCTAATGTCCACTAAGGTTTCAAGGCACTGCTTCCAAATACCTGACCTCTTCAAGAGTCACATGGGCATTGCATTAACCCTGGGAGAAATTCCCATGTGTTCTCCTGAGTACGTATTTACCAAGGCCACAGCTCTAACCAAATGCACCATATATGCTTTCCCTCCATCCGTCACTGGACAGGAAAACAGAAGGAGGACTGCCTTGAGAAGTTACCATCTGCTGCCCAGATTATCACTCCCTTTACCCTAAGGCATGAGTGTGTCTCAGCCTTAAAGTGTGAGCAACCCACCAGCCTGCAGCAGGCCTTGGGTGCATGGAGCCACATTTGGCCAAACTCACCTGGAAGAACCATTCAAGGCTGTAACATTCATGGACATCGGGCAGCTTTTAAGATATACCTGTTTTGGCCAGATGAGGTGACTCACGCCTGTAATCCCAGCACTTTGGGAGGCCAAGGTGGGTGGATCACGAGGTCAGCAGTTCAAGACCAGCCTGGCCAACATGGTGAAATCCCGTCTCTACTAAAAATACAAAAGTTAGCCAGGCATGGTGGTGGGCACCTGTAATCCCAGCTACTCAGGAGGCTGAGACAGAAGAATCGCTTGAACCCAGGAGGCAGAGGTTGCAGTGAGCAGAGACCGTGCCATTGCACTCCAGCCTGGGCAACAGAGTGAGACTTCATCTCAAAAAAAAAACAACAAAAAAAAAGATATACCTGTTTCAAGTTCAGGGATGATCTCAAAACAATTGCTAACCAACTGTTCTGTGTTGCCTTTCTATGGGATCAGTTGTCATTTTAATTTTCCTTCCATCAAATTAATTAGTATGTATTCTGTTCGCTGAATATGGTATGTAAAGGTTGCCCCCTGTCCATTTACACTGGCAATTACAAAAATATTATTTATCAGTCCCTAATTGCGTGCCACTCTGATCTTATCTTTCATTTAAATTTGAGAATGGTGGGTGTGAGGTAAGTTTTCTAACCAATCCAGAAAGACAAAGTGGGGGGGGTGGGTGGGGATTATTGATATGCAAGAACTTCATTAGCTATGTATAATTTGAGAGCACTGAGCAGTTAAAGTGTCTCTGCCCTTGCTATTAGAAATTCTGTGCTCATTGAATCTCACTATCTTATAGTATTATACAGTACTAAGTACTATACAGTACTAAGTATAAGTACCAAGTACTGCATTAAGGCAAAAGAAGAATGACAGTTTTCTCCAACCACTGATTATTCTTTCCACTGAGACTTCAAAACCTGACCCTAATCATCCTGTCTTTCTTCCTACCTTGGGTGATGATGGCAGAACTGACGGGTAGAGAACAGGGTAGGTTATTACACACTGCCCCCTGGGATAAGGTGGCTATTATCTAAATAATTTTAAGGACTTTGGGGCTATAAGTCACCTTAATAAGGAAGCTATTTATTTCAGGATTCTAAAATCTTTTAATAAGTGTTTGTAGAATCAAAAGAATAGAATCAAAGTCACTTGTATGTAGTGAGGGGTTAGCTGGCTAACGCTGTTTTATAAACAAGGGTACAAAACTCAGTGGGGTTGTTTTTAAATTTTTTACCTTGGTGTCATTTCTGTACAAGATCTCAAACCGATAACTTGAAAACTGCTGTGGGAATCAGTGTGGGGCAAACAGGAAACAGATAACGGGCAGTTAGGCTAGTTGCAGTTATGCCAACAAAGAAAACAGAAGCCCCAAAAGATTGCTGGCTTGGTAGGAAGTTCAGGGTATCTTTAAGGTAACATTAAATAGTCTTTATCTGTGGGCCAGACACGGTGGCTCTCACCTGTAATCCCAGCACTTTTGGAGACTGAGGCAGAAGGATTACCTGAGCCCACGAGTTCAAGACCAGCCCGGGCAACATGGCAAAACCACATCTCTACAAAAATATAAAAAATTAGTCAGGCATGGTAGCATGCACATGTAGTCCCAGCTACCCAGGAGACTGAGGTGGGAGGATCACTTGAACCCAGGAGGTCAAGGCTACAATAAGCCATGATAGCACCACTGCAATCCAGCCTGGGCAACAGAGTGAGGCCCTGTCTCAAAAAAAAAAAAAAAAAAAAAGTCTTCATTTGTAAAACATCTTCCATTATCACCAACTTACAAATGATTCTGCTTTCCAAAGATTTTGGTTGTAGGTTGGTCCTTTAAGACATGAAGAATATTTTTCCTACAGAGACAAAGGTAGAAATAATGGCTACATTCCCAGGCTAAATCTAAGACAAAATATAGTTCATGGCATTTACAAGGATAAAAGTAAAAAGTCATAAATCTGTATGTGTGTGTTTAGGGGTGTGTGTGTATCTATGTGTGTGTGTATGTATATATACACAGAGAGAGAGAGAGAATTTATAGGCTTTTTGGGTTCTAATAACTAGAAAAAGGACACAGGTAACTATTTAGAGTATGGAAGCCAGTGAAGTGACTAGAGACTTCACCCCTATTCTTCTGTCCTCAAATGAATCTTCTGACTCTAGCACTTTGTCCCCTGCCCTAGTAGTCTTAGTATCGAGACTTTCGCTCCTTTCTTTTAGGAAAGGAATAAGGAAGGGCTCCGGAAGCATGTGTCCTTGTGCATGGGCTCATCTAGACACATTTTTTGCTCCTGGCATTATCATTCTCTGATTACTCACTACCATTGGCCCTGTTTGGTAAATGAGGAAACCAAGGCAATGATGTTTTAGGCCAAATCTCGAAAATCCTGTATCAGCAGGACCCAGAGTTAGAGATTAGACTCTACCCCAGATACATCTTCTAAAATCACTGGTCTTCAGATTCGTGAACTGTTTTTTTCCTCGGTTGGAAGAATTTCCCACCAGAACCAACACACAGGGTTAGACCTGGGCATGAAACTGAACACATGCCCTCTTAGTTCCCTTTTCTTCAAAATGAAACTCTCTCAGTAGGAACAGATTCTTACTCATCTATTGTTGTTAGGTGCATTGTCCCTAAAAAAAAAATTATGTGAAGTTAAACAGAATCTGAAATTAATTCAGATTTGATTCCTCCCTGCTCAAGTGCATTTGGTCATCAGCAGGCTGAAATTTAGAAGAAAATTTCAAATAGTAGTCTTTAATACTTTAAAGGATTAAAACAGTAATGGAGCACTGTCTAAGTGCTAGCACCTGAACTAAATACTTGGAATATATTTTATTTTATCAATCCAATGAGGATGATACAATTATTATGCCTCTTTAACAGATGAAGAAATTGTAGTTTAGAGAAGAAACTAGCTGTTCAAAGACACACTGTACTACAGCTGGCAAAATAGGGCTTGCACCTGGGTGAGATGATTCTAGAATGCCAGTTTATAGCCACTGAAATATATTGCCTCCCAAATGACTGTTTCTGCTCAAAGAGTTTTTTTTAAGTTATCTACTTAATTATATTCTTCCTTTTTCAAAAAGAATGTGAGTGCAAAATGTGTTCAGTATAGCAAATTAAAATTAATTAAAAAGTAAAAGAAAACCAAATTTAAACTTACGGTAAAAAAATCATTTGGAACCAAGGGTGAAGTTATGGCACGAAAATGTATGTCACAAAGTTCTTTTTTTTTTTTTTCTTTTTTTTTTTTGAGACGAGTCTCGCTCTGTCACCCAGGCTGGAGTATGGCCGATCTAGTCACTGCAAGTCCCTCGGTACCATCCTGTAGCTCGAGTAGGGACAGGCGCTCCCTCGGCTTTTTTTTTTTTTGAGACGGGTTCATGTTTAGCAGGATTCTCGTCTCTGACCTCGTTCCCTCTCGCTCCAATGTGGATTAGCTTGGCCCGCCCAAAGTTCTATTTTGAGGGTCTAGATTAGCTCTGAGTTTCCTTGCAGCCAGTCAAAGGAAAGGCATGTGATACTCTTTGTGTTTGTAAGATAAAAACACATTAGTTACTCAGATGAGGCTGTGCAATTCCTATCAACAAGGCCAAAGTGAAATTCTCTTGTGGATTCTCATAGAGATGATGCTGTGAGCTGTAATGGCACATAGTCTTACAGTATTAGCAGCTGTCCCTCAAGGGAAGAATCTGCAGGTAGGACGAGATGGCAGATTGGGAAGGGATAAACACTTGAATGGGCATATTGGGTCTCACCACCAGGCAATTTAGCCTACACTTCTGTCTTCTTGAGTACACGGAGAATGGAATGAAACCTCAAGAGGCATCTGCATCAACATGTCTGTTCTGTATGAGTGTCTACCACTGTTTATTAAGCCAGTTCCTCAAATCCCCTTTGACACAGATAGGGTCCACCTAACAAATACCTAATATACTTCAAAAGACAGTTTTGAGAGTGGGAGTCTTCCTTCTCCCTTATTTGAAAAACTTTAAAGTGTCTAATTTTTGCTAATGCCATTTCTCTATTTTCTATTTGCAGGCAAGAAATCCAAGAAAAGGTAAGTTTTATTAGTGGGGGGGAGTTTCCACATCTGCTGATTCCTTCTCTACTTGCTTAAGTTGATTCCTGCTCTAGCAAGACACATTAACGCCATAGTAGTTTATTTACCTGGAGTCCTCATCCAAATGACTAGATAAAGTGATAAATCTACTAGCTTCCTTTCGGACCTGTGCTTTTTGGTGCTAGTGGAGCTGCATGAATGAATGAATGAGTGAACAAGTAATCCCTATTAGAAAAGGGCAGTTTATGTAAAGGGAGATTTTTCTGATGACCTCAGAATTTTTTCTGAATGTTAAAAACATTGTGGTATGTTCTTCTTGTTCTGGCTGAACGTGAGGCCCTAAACATATTATTTAATAAATATTCAATTGAACAAGCATTTATTGAGAAATGAATAAATGCTTGTTCAATTGAATATTTGCTTTCAATTGCTCTGATAGGCATTGCCCTTCGGAAATGTGGGAAAGATAGGGAGCATGAATTCTACCTATAGCTTCCCCAAGGAGGCAAGTATTTTTCAGTTTGGTCTTGAAGCTCAAATTTCTTGTACTGGAGAAATAGCACAGTGGGAGGAGATGCAGACTGTGAAAGTGGATGGCCCACCTGGCAGAAATGAAGATGGCAAAATATTTCTCAGTGTCTAGGGTTTAGTGACTTGCTCTGGAATCTTAGGAAGGAGAGTGTAAGTAAAATAAATCTATGAAAGGAAGACTTTGGTGACATATTCAGTACCCAGTTGGACAACTGAGCTCCCTTTAAAATGCTAGAAATGAAGTGAGATGATTTCTGAAGGGATTGGGTGCTGGTTTGGGCAACCATCCTACCAACCACAAACTTAGTATGGGCCATTGCTTAGCATGCAAAGGAAAAAGTGGGGAAAGATGAGGCACCAGAAACCAGATCATAAAGTAATTTATAAGCCATGTGATATGGGTTTTATCTTGAGGTCTTTTGGGATATCACTAAAGGGGTTTAAACAGTGAGTAGCCTTGCCTCCAGCATCTTATAAGGTCACCCTGCAGAGCAGTATGGCAAGTGCGGGAGACAGGTGAGCCTGGGGGCAAAGAGACTTGTTTTGGAGGCATTTGAAGTTATTAGGTTAAAACTGATGGCACCTGTCTAGGGAACTAGTAGTAAGAATGGGTTCATGAAATAGGAAGAGGTGATATTAACTGAATGTGTCTGTTAATTGGCTAAAAGGGAGAGAGAAGAATCAAATCATCATCTTTCTCACCTGGAAACTGGCGGATGGTAGTACCGTTTACTTCTGAGAAGGGAACATAAAAGAATGAGAGGTTTTGGAGGTAAAGATCATGGGTTCGGTTTTGTACTGAGCTTTGGGTGTCTGCTCTTCATTCACTGTGGTTCACTGGACCTATCCACAGCACAGAGGCTATGTTGGGGCAGAGGATTTGGGGCCCTCACATTTCAGGAGGTAACTGCCATCTCAGGAGTGGGTACGATCATCCAGGGAGGGTATGAGTGCTCTGAGAATGGAAGAGGATCTGTGAGAGAGGATGGGAGCCAGAGGAACATCATTGTCTAATAAGTCAGCTAAGGGAAAGAGAAATGAGAAGAGGTTGCCAGGCAGGGAGAAGGAAGAAGAGGAAGAGTGTGTGGTAATGAATGCCAAGGAAAGAAAGAAAGGGGAACAGCTTCAAACACTGCCAGGAGAACCAGTAAGTACTCCCTGGATGCAACAAGGGTGTCAATGGGGAGACTATTTGCAGTGCAGACATCAAGACAGAGGTCAGATGGCCAAGCATTGAGCATCACTGAGTATGAGAAAGTAGAGACAGAACAAGCAGTCATCTCTTTTAAAATGTTTGGCTGTGATGGCGAAGTGGGGCAGGGGTAACTGGATGAGGATGTGCGATCAGTGGAGGTTCTTTTTATTCTTTTTAATTACTCTGTCTTCTCTTTACTAGTGTAAATGGAGTCTAATGAGGAAAGGCTTCTTTCTCTGAGCTGGTGTCCCTGTCTGTGGCAGGAAACCCACAAGATGTGAAGATGTCTTTCAAACTCACAGCTACTGAGTGAAAGTATTTTCTGGCACAATTTACCCGGAGCTGTTTTCTGGCTACCGGAACCACCTGTTTTAATTGCCACTAGATGGAAGCAGATCAACTAGATTTTTTTTTTTTTAAGATGTCCTTGAGGCACAGGAAGAGATACTGGCTGGAACAATATTAGCAATAAGCTCATTACCATGCTAATTGCTATATTAAGTTTAATGGTTCACTGATTTTTTTATAACCAGTCAATTAATAGTTGTTTATTGAACATTCTTGTGTCAGAAACTGCTAAGCTTGCTTGAGACACCAAGAGGAGTAAGCCTGGCCCCTGATTTCAGGAAAATTATTACCTAGCTGGGGGGTTAAGATAGGAATATAGAAAGAAAAAAATCAGAAAAATACAAGGCAGAGCATGGTAATGGCCAATGGGTGCTATATTTAAGAAGGAAAAAGTCATTTGGCTTGGTGCTTATAGATAATCTTATAAAGAAGGTTGCTTTTGAAGAATAGATAGGATTTAGGTGTATGGAGAAAAGCAGGAAAAGAAGGCAGTCTGTAGGAAGGAAAAGATGTAAGCAGCGCTATGGTAGTGAGACTATGAGAGCATGTTCAGGAGCCAGTGAGCAGAACTTTCTTGAGCCCATGGCTTATTGAGGAGTTGTGGAGTGGAAGTTGGAAGGGAAGGCTGGCCCCACCAACATAAGTCTTGAATGCTTCACCAGATGGTCTAGAAAGGCCTAGCAAAGAAGAATTATTTGCCCAGCTCTCATTTATTGACCAAGGCTGTATTAATTCATAAGAATCACAGAATTTTAGGTCTGGATAAGATCTTGGTGGATATCACATTCAAACTCTTTTTGTAGTTGAACTAATTAAGTAACTTTTCTATAGGGCTTGAGCAAGTGACAGAGTTACAATAATCATAAGCCTTTATCAAATATTAATTCCATGTTGTACACTATTATGAATGGTTTGCATGTCTTAAATCATGAAATATGCCTTTAAGTCTGCGGGAGAAGGGTCTATGAACATCTTCATTACTGATAAAGGAACAGGCACAGAGAAATAAAATAGCCTGAAGTCACAACAAATGGCAAGGCTGAGATCCATACTCATCTGGATCCAGGGATCATGCTCTTAACACATATGCTTTTAGAACTCAAGACCCTTGATTACCAGCTTAGACTGGTAAGTCCCAGACACCCTCCTTTTCCAGTAATGTGATTTTTTTTTCACACTGAAACCATCGTGTGATTGCACTGAGGAAGGGTGGGGTAGAAGAAGTTCGGTATGTTTTTAGAACAAGTCAAAGGTAAGATGAATACTATCACACTAAACACTGTGAGCCTTTTTTTTTTTAAGTTCTTGGGCTAATTTTCATAGTAGTTTGTGTTCATTTCTATTAGCTTTTGAGTGGTGAATGAATGATTCCTTGGGCATTTGTGGTTTCATTTCTTGCTGGGTTATTTTGACTCTTCTGCAAACTGACTCTGTTTATCACCTCATTTGGTTTCTGCTGTCTAAATTCTGGCAGGGTAGAAGCTACACCCAAGATACACAGGAAGATATGATGCCAACCTCAGAGGAGGGCATATGTGAAATTTTGTTTTCAGAAACACTTTTTTGTCTCTATTTTTGCAAGCACATTTGCAGCTGCTGAACTGTGGTTTACCCTGACAGTTCATCATGAGACCAGCACCTCACAATCTGGTTCTCCCTTTGAAAGGTGCCATGAAGACATACCACATTTCATTCTCTCCTTGTCCTTTCCAAGAAGAAGACAGTTGTGTCACACACAAAAAGTGTCACTTATTTCTTTAAATGTGTTACCATCTCATTAAATTATATCCCAGGATATAATTTATCAGGAGTTTATAACTGCCACTACTTCATGAGTTTAAATTTTCTCCAATTTCACTTTCCATTTAAGTATGCCTTCTAATTTCTTGACTTTCCACTGCTCAAAATCAATCTACGGCCGGGCGCGGTGGCTCACGCCTGTATTCTCAGCACTTTGGGAGGCCAAGGCGGGCGGATCATGATGTCAGGAGCTTGAGATTAGCCTGGCCAATATGGTGAAACCCTATCTCCACTAAAAATACAAAAATTAGCTGGGTGTGGTGGCACGTGCCTGTCGTCCCAGCTACTCAGGAAGTTGAGGCGGAAGAATCGCTTGAACCCAGGAGGCCGTGGCTGCAGTGAGCTGAAACCGTGCCACTGCACTCCAGACTGGGCAACAGAGTGAGACTCCGTTTCAAAAAAATAAAATAAAATAAAATAAAAATAAATTTAAAAAATCAGTCTACACTGTCCTTCAAACTCATTAGATCTGGAGACAAAGACCGTATGCACCACAAAAATTTCTCCAAGTGTGGTCTGTGGGCCAGTGGCATAAGCATCACTAAAGAGCTTGTTAGGGGTGCAGAATCTCAGGCTCCACTCAGACCTACTGAATCAGAGTCTGCATTTTAACACCATCTCTGAATGGTAAGCACATGAAAGTCTGACGAGTGCTGCCTCTAGGGTTTCCTTACATTCGTTCATCTTCAAAAGTTCCTAAAGGCAGGCCTCTTGTCTGAGATTCCAGCTGAAAGCATTTCCCTGCTCCTCTTCTCATCTCTAATGAATATTTACCTTTTCTACTAACACTCCAAGTTTTGCAATGTTTAAACTCTTAAGTTTATTATCTTTTGTTTTTCTTTCAGTATGGATGACCCATATTAAATCGCCCTCGGTGAAAGAAAAGTCTTGGAATACTGAAAATCATGGGATCCTTTAAATCCTTCCATGAAACGTTTTGCATGGTGGCACCTCCTACATCAAACATGAAGTGTGTTTCCTTCAGCACATCTGGAAAGATTTCTACCTGACCAACAGCTCCTTCTGCTTCCATTCTGCCCCTCATTTATCCCTCAACCCCCAGCCCACAGGTGTTTATATGGCTCAGCTTTTTGTCTTTTCTGAGGAGAAACAAATAAGACCATAAAGGGAAAGGATTAATGTGGAATACAAAGATGGCTGACTTTGCTCTTTCTTGACTCTTGTTTTCAGTTTCAATTCAGTGCTGTACTTGATGACAGACACTTCTAAATGCGGTGAAAATTTGACACATATGTGAATATGGACTCAGTTTTCTTGCAGATCAAATTTCATGTCGTCTTCTGTATCCTGTGGAGGTAGAACAGTCTCATAGAAAGTTCATAAAGTCTACGCTCTCCTTGCTTTCTAACTCCAGTGAAGTAACGGGGTCCTGCTCAAGTTGAAAGAGTCCTGTTTGCACTGTAGCCTCACCGTCTGTGAATGGACCATCCTATTTAACTGGCTTCAGCCTCCCCACCTTCTTCAGCCGCCTCTCTTTTTTAGTTGGCTGACTTCCACACCTAGCATCTCATGAGTGCCAAGCAAAAGGAGAGAAGGGAGAAATAGCCTGCACTGTTTTTTAGTTTGGGGGTTTTGCTGTTTCTTTTTATGAGACCCATTCCTATTTCTTATAGTCAATGCTTTTGTCACTATATTATTAGTAAGAAAACATTACTGAAATGCTAGCTGCAAGTGCAATCTCTTCGATGTTATGTGGAAGAATTAAAACAGGTAGAGAAATTCCTGATTCACAATTAAATGCTCTCCTTTCCCTGCCCCCAGACCTCTTATCCACTTACCTAGATTCTACATATTCTTCAAATTTCATCTCAGGCCTCCGTCACCCCCACCACTTCTTTTATAACTAGTCCTTGGCCAGGCGCGGTGGCTCATGCCTGTAATCCCAGCACTTTGGGAGGCCGAGGCGGGCGTATCACGAGGTCAGGAGATTGAGACCACCCTGACTAACACGGTGAAACCCCGTCTCTACTAAAAATACAAAAAATTAGCCGGGCTTGGTGGCAGGTGCCTGTAGTCCCAGCTACTTAGGAGGCTGAGGCAGGAGAATGGCGTGAACCCGGGAGGCGGAGCTTGCAGTGAGCCGAGATCGCGCCACCGCACTCCAGCCTGGGCAACAGAGCGAGACTCCGTTCCCCTCCTCACCCAAACACACACACACACACACACACACACACACACACACACACACACCCCCCAAAATAACTAGTCCTTAACTAATCGAACCCATGCTGAGCTCCTCTTCCTGGCTTCTCACTGAAAGGTTACCCTGTAACATGCAATTTTGCATTTGAATACAACCTGCTTTTGAAGTGTTAATTAGTTTGCCTAGTTTCTTATTTTGAAAATTACCGTATGTTTTGTTTTCTCCCCAATGAGATTATATGCTCCTTCAGGGCAGAGTTTGTGTCAGATCCCTGGAGTGTCTAGTGCATTACTTGACACTCAATAAATGAACGTTCAAATAAATGGGAAAGAGCATACAGTGTACTGCTGATATAAGTTGCAGCAAACCCTCTTTCTCTATGGCATCTGATGACCTGGGCAGATATCACCTAATGTCAAGAGCTGGATTCTTATGAGAGAATAGGGCCCTATCAGAAGCTAGCTGGAAATACCTCCTTGTCCCACGGCCAGTACAGATTTCATACAAATTTGCACATATTATGAGAATAATTTTTTGGTAATGATTACATTTTTCTTTCTCAAAGACATCTCAGATTCTGTATTACAGCAAGAGCTGTTGCAAAAGATTCTCCCTATAGTACACTGTGAATCTTGTATGTGCAAGTCACATTCATGTGGTTTAGGGTATGAGAGACAGGACTGAAGAGAGAGGAGAGACAGAGAAGAGAGAGAGAGACAGGAGAGAGACAGAGAGAGGAGAGAGAGAAACAGGAGAAAGAGGCAGAGAGACAAAGACGAGTCAAAGAGAGAAAAAAAGAGAAAGATAGAAATAGTAAAACAACAACAACAGTGTGCCCTATTCCTTTAAAAGCCAGGGTAAATTTAAAACCTGTAATTGATCATTGAAGGTCTTCTCTGTGACCCTATAACACTCCAATACTACCTTGTTGTCAGTGTAAACAAAGGTGTAGTCTGAAAACACTCAGACCACTGACAACCATAGCTTTCCTATCAAAAATCCTTAATCCAGTAACCCGCGGATGCATTCAATCTGTAGCGGCAACTGCTTTGCTAATAGAAGAAAGTAGAAAACTAACTTTTAGAGGAAACCTCATTGTGAGCACACCTCACCAGTTCAGAATTATTCTAAGTCAAAAAAGCAAAAAGGTAGCTTACTAACTCAAAAATCTAAAGTATGGGGCTATTCTGTTAGAAAAAGGTAATTTAACACCAACCACTGATAATTCCCGTAACCCAGCAGATTTCCTAACAGGGGATTTAAATCTTAATTACCATACAAAGGTCCAACCAGACCTAGGAGGAATTCCCTTCAGGACAGGACAATAGATGCTTCCTCCCAGGCGATTGAGGAAAAAACCACAGTGGGTATTCAGTAAGTGATAGGGAGACTCTTGTGGAAACAGAGTTAGAAAAATTGCCTATTAATTGGTCTGCTCAAATGCGCAAGCTGTTTGCACTCAGCCAAGCCTTAAAGTACTTACACAATCAAAAAAGACTATCTCAATCCTGTCTCAAAAGGTTACCTACACCCTCTGTGAAATGAATTTGCATAAGAACTGTTGTCTATGGGAATGCATCTGGATGAGGCAGCTGGGTTGTTATGAAATACTCAGGAACCCAGCCCAGGCCTAGGACTCACCCCTGAGCACAAAGACAATGTTGGGCACGCTGGTAAAGGACCACTAGAATCCAGCAGCCCGGACCACTTTCTTTGTGGTCAAGAAAGATAGGAAAAGGGGTGCAGGACTGCTACATTGGTGAGCATAACTAATCCGATAAGCAGAGCTCCATGGGTGGTGACGCACCCTGGAAAGGAATAAGCATTAGGACCATAGAGGACGCTTTAGGACTAATGCTCTTTGGAAAATGACTAGGGGTGCTGGCATCCCTGTGTTCTTTTGTCAGATGGGAAACGTTTCCCCCCAAGGCAAAAATGCCCCTAAGATGTATTCTGGAGAATTGGGACCAATTTGACCCTCAGACTCTAAGAAAGAAATGACTTATATTCTTCTGCAGTACCGCCTGGCCACAATATCCTCTTCAAGGGGGAGAAACCTGGCCTCCTGAGGGAAGGATAAATTATAACACCATCTTACAGCTAGACCTCTTTTGTAGAAAAGAAGGCAAATGGTGTGAAGTGCCATACGTACAAACTTTCTTTTCATTAAGAGACAACTCGCAATTATGTAAAAGGTGTGATTTATGCCCTACAGGAAGCCCTCGGAGTCTACCTCCCTACCCCAGCGTTCCCCTGACTCCTTCCCCAACTAATAAGGACCCCCCTTCAACCCAAACGGTCCAAAAGAAGATAGACAAAGGGGTAAACAATAAACCAAAGAGTGCCAATATCCCCCGATTATGCCCCCTCCAAGCAGTGGGAGGAGGAGAATTCGGCCCAGCCAGAGTGCATGTACCTTTTTCTCTCTCAGACTTAAAGCAAATTAAAATAGACCTAGGTAAATTCTCAGATAACCCTGATGGCAATATTGATGTTGTACAAGGGTTAGGACAATCCTTTGATCTGACATGGAGAGATATAATGTTTCTGCTAATTCAGACACTAAGCCCAAATGAGAGAAGTGCCACCTTAACTGCAGCCCGAGAGTTTGGCTATCTCAGGTATCTCAGTCAGGTCAATGATAAGGTGACAACGGAGGAAAGAGAACGATTCCTCACAGGCCAGCAGGCAATTCCCAGTGGAGACCCTGATTGGGACACAGAATCAGAACATGGAGATTGGTGTTGCAGACATTTGCTAACTTACGTGCTAGAAGCACTAAAGAAAACTAGGAAGAAGCCTATGAATTATTCAATGATGTCCACTATAACACAGGGAAAGGAAGAAAATCCTACCGCCTTTCTGGAGAGACTAAGGAAGGCTTGAGAAAGCATACCTTTCTGTCACCTGACTCTATTGAAGGCCAACCCATCTTAAAGGATAAGTTTATCACTCAGTCAGCTGCAGACATTAGAAAAAAACTTCAAAAGTCTGCCTTAGGCCCGGAGCAAAATTTAGAAACCCTATTGAACTTGGCAACCTCTGATTTTTTATAATAGAGATCAGGAGGAGCAGGCAGAGGGATAAACAAAAGGCCACTGCTTTAGTCATGGCCCTCAGGCAAGCGGACTTTGGAGGCTCTGGAAAAGGGAAAAGCTGGGCAAATAGAATGCCTAATAGGGTTTGCTTCCAGCGCGGTCTACAAGGAGGACACTTTAAAAAAGATTGTCCAACTAGAAGTAAGCTGACCCTTCGTCCATGCCCCTTATGTCAAGGGAATCACTAGACGTCCCACTGCCCAAAAAGACTAAGTTCCTCTGAGTCAGAAGCCACTAACCAGATGATCCAGCAGCAGGACTGAGGGTGAGGGTGCCCAGGGCAAGCACCAGGCCATGCCCTCACCTCGCAGAGCGCCTCACTGAGGGCCAGGAGGTTAACTGTCTCCTGGACACTGGCGCAGCCTTCTCAGTCTTACTCTCCTGTCCCGGACAACTGTCCTCTATATCTGTCACTATCCGAGGGGTCCTAGGACAGACAGTTGCTAGATACTTCTCCCAGCCACTAAGTTGTGACTGGGGAACTTTACTCTTTTCACATGCTTTTCTAATTATGCCTGAAAGCCCCACTCCTTTGTTAGGGAGAGACATTCTAGGAAAAGCAGGGGCCATTATACACCTGAACATAGGAGAAGGAACACCCG